AATGTATTTTTAAGTTTAAAATATACAAATATGCAAAGGTAAGTTTTATTTTATTTTTAAGAAGACCATTTAAAACAATTTATAACCAATATGATCCCTCTTCAATTGTTTTTTCATATTCCAAATAATGAAATAATTACTATGATCTTTGCATCGCAATTAATCCCGTCTTTTGCTATGTGCTTGTAATTTTCACAAATATTATGACGAAAACCAGAAACTTCTATCTATCTCCTAGACTGATTGCCCTTCCATATAAGAGCTGAGTCTAAACTGCTATCTAAACCCCTAACTGGAGGCGATATGTTCATGCCTTTTCCAAGTACGATGTGAATGAAATCAACACGTGAAATAGTCACAATTTGAACTCAACAGTTCAGTTTCAATTTCTGTACCAATAACACTTACGTAACAGACATCTATCTATAATTAATGCCGACATTAACAGAGAACAGAAAAGTGTTAAGTTTAAAATACGTTTTTATGAAAGTAGTTCTTCATTGTGCCCAAATAGAAGAATTAATGTACATAAGAGTAATTATTCCTTGCACGAGTAACGCTTGATGCGAGCAACAGGTAAAAGTCAATGAAAAAAAAACGCAGGCTTTAAGTCCCATCTAATAAGCACATATACTACCTTTTTATTACTTGCGACTTATTGTCTCCAGCCAATTCCATCTTAACTGTCACCTTCTTTATTAGCTTTTACGTCATTTGGCAACAATTAGCGTCAGGCAATATATACGAATCAACATTTTGAAAAGACGAAATTTAATTTTCTCTGAATCGATATAGTTTGTTCTAAAGGCATCGGCATTTTATAGATATGTGAGTGTAGAAAAAGCGCTAAGATGAACTGCTGTGAATATTTTTACTCTTTGTTCATCTTCATCATTTCCCACTCTTTGTGTCTTCATCTTCTGTTTCCTCTCCAACGAGAACGAGAAGTAGAAATAAGACAGCAGCCTATTACACGACTTGAACTCGAACCGTAACACTTTGTCTAAGGAAATTTGACCACGGAGTCATCACAATTTACAGCAACATGGCGTCTTCACATTATATTGTTTTACTCGAAACTAAGATTTTTAAACCTTTTAACCCTGAACACTCTGAAGAGTACGGATCTTTCCCACCGGGAAACCTGTTGCCCATCTCTGCTGTCTATGATTCTGGGCAATATATCAACTGTCTAGGTATATACACTTTCACACAGCGCCCGGTAAACAAAGGGTTTATTTTAATTGTTAGATCACCAGTAAAATTCAAAGAAGAATTTTCAATATTATCGGACACGACCTGCCATCTCAGCATCAATCACTTTCACACTACCGTAGCGTTGATTCTCCGTGCCTTTTATAAGGAAATTTTCATGTCAATTGTTCTGGTGAGTTTTTCTCTTTGATGCCTTCATGAATTTAAGTATAGTACTTGATTGGCAGTTCGGTCTCATCATATTATTTTTCAAATTGTTAAATATAACAGTAACGTCTACTCTAGTTTCTTTCTATTAATTTCTTTTCTAAAAACTTCTCGCCTATGAAACTCTCTATCAGCTTCTTTATTTCCAGTAAATTACAATTTACAAGAATTAAGTGCAATGACAAGCGTCGTCTTTTCCCTCCTACAATCCTGCTCTCTGTAATGTCCTTTCTTTTTATGTTATTTTTCTTTCAAATTGCGTCTTAATGACTTTATAGCCTTCATTAAGGTAAAATTATTAAAAAACGATCACTGAAATGGTTTGTTTCACTTGTTCCCCGACTGTATGAATTTAAGCGTGCTACAAGATTGGTATCTCAGTCCCACCCTTTCACTGTCGAAACAGTTAAATGTAACCGCCTCTTCTACTCTGACAGATTCATCTCTCGCACTTCTCTTCAGTGGAACTCCCATCCCTGATAACTATAATCTTCAAAAATTTAAATGTAATGTCAATCAACATCTTCTGTTGCCTAGATCCCCGTTCTTCTTTTTATACTTCTCCTTTCCTCATTACCCGCTATAGCCAGTCTTTTTCCTTACTCTCTGTAACTCCTTGCGTACTGGTGGCACTCCCGCCTTGCTTGGAGTGAATTGCTTAAAAAAAAATTTAAATGTTTTTCATCTTTGTTGTTACATTCGCAGTATGCTGACAGGTTTATTTTCCTATCTTCTTCAGATAATGTTTATCTGCAGCTTCTGTAAATTCTTATCGTTTTGAAATCGAAAAGAGTAGATGACCAAAAACCCCTATGGCAATATGTTGTAGCTGACACATTTCTAGCAAAACATTCTCATTAGCAAAACGCTAGTCTGGCAAAACAGAATATCAGAGACTAAACAAGTAAAAAAGAAAACTGTGGAAAAAATCCTATTAAATAATTTTAAGTTTTTTATAGGCATTCAAAGGAGAACATACTTCGTCATTATACTTGCAATAAAATAGACGAGACAAGAAAATAATACGTTGCTAGTCGGTATGCAATGTAAAATTTTATAACCGGAATAAAAATACATAAAATTTCGATTAATAATGTTTATGAAGTCGTGTGGTCTTTTCTTATCAAACGTAACTGCAATGTCTATCAAAATATATTAAGGGAAAGAAGATAAAACAAATATATGTACTTAATAGATATTTTTACTTCTTTCATTCACTCTCCTTTTAGATATCTATCTTTCTTTCTCTCTCTCTTTCTATCTTCCCGTCTTTCTGTCTCATTATATATATATATATATATATATATATATATACATTAAAGGTAACAAACAACGAATGTCTGTTATGTTTGATCATGAGCCGTTCTAAGTTTCGTATAGTGGCTTAATAAAGAAAAAAATTGTCCAACATTTGTTCCTCAATGTAAGCTTTCGGCTCACATGAGCCATCATCAGAGTGGTTATATGGACATTACAACAGAGATGTACACTATCAAAGATGAGGTCCTGTTATGTTTACATAGAAGTTTGCTATGCAACGAACGGTCGCGGAATAGCAGACGCAGGACACAGGTCATAAATTCGTAATGATGTTCTATGACGTCGTATATGATCCCATGAGAGAAAGAAATGTTATGAACTGAACCATGTGTTTAGATGCAATCTAATATGTTGTGACTAGTTTGAAATGTAATTTTGTTGAGTGTGGGTTGCTTTGTTTTAATGTAGATGGCCTCCAATATTTTAAGATTATTTTTACTGTGTGCATATATGAGTATTGCTGTGTTATTAACTAATATCTGTCTAATATTAGGTACATGGCTATGTTTTCCTAAGAAATGTTGTTTAATGGAATTAAGATCAAAAAGGTGACAAGTAAGTCTACGGGAGAGCGTAGTTGTAGTAAAAAACAATATTTGTAGTGGGTTTATTATTAGCATCAGAGATACAGCCTCCGAACGCACATTTAAATTGATACACGACATTTTTTTTTTTTTTTTTTTTTTTGTAGACAAATTTATTTCTTTGGTTGTAGGGTTATAGAAGGCTGTGAGGTTGTTTTAATTTTTTTATAATATATGATGAGCTTAACTATTATTATTATTAATGAGTTTAACATTTTTACCTATTATGTTTTTGAGTGTTGTTTCATCATGTTTGTAATTATTATGCATTTGGTTACAATAGTATAAGTTAATAGTGTTATGCTTATTTTGATGTACACTATTATGGTTGCAATTATTTTTACTATTATCAATTTTGCTAGTGGTTATTATTAAGTTTATTGAGATACATTTTAATTTGTTGATTAATGACGGAATTAGGGAATCCATTATTAACAAGTGTTTGTTTAATGTTATATAATTCTTTATAGAATATGGTTTAGGAATAAGACATCTTATGTGTGGATTAGATTAAGTTTTTTATAACAACTTACTTATATCGTTGGTGTCATTCATTATTATAATTAAGAAGACACGAGTTAATGCTAGTGGGTTTCCTATATAGAGAAAGAGTAAATTTATGTTTGCTGGAACCATTAAGTTTTTGTTTGGTGGGGGGAAGCATTTCACCACAAGCAAGGCGGAATGCCACCAGCACGCAAAGGGGTTACAGAGAGTGGAAACGAGCATAAAGAGGCGTGATGGAGGAAAGGATGAAGAGAAGGACAGGGAATCGATCAGAGCATCTCGATTGACATTATATTAGAATAGTTGTAGATTATAGCTATATATGTTGAGTTCTAGTGTAAATTTGTGGACGGACTGACTTTCAAATAACCACTCTGATGATGGCTCATGTGAGCCTAAACCTTTGATCGAGGAATAAAAGATCATAAAAAAATACCCAAATGTTTGAATAATGATCTGTTGACCCAAAATACTATATATATATATATATATATATATATATATATATATATATATATATATATATATATATATATATAACATATTTGACAGGTAACTGTAACTAAAAGCAATTCTTATTTTCTTTTATCTCTTTATCACACCCACTTTCTCTGTCTTTTCTCTCTCTCTCCTTCTCTCGCTCTCTTTCTACCTGTCTATCTATTTTTTCTTTATCACTCTCTATGTATCTACCCCATTCAACAATTCATGACTTACGACTGTACCCAAAAGAACAATTCTTATATTTCTTTTACTTTATCCTCTCTCTCCCCCTCTCTCTTTCTCTCTCTCTCTCTCTCTCTCTCTCTCTCTCTAACATTTATGATTGGTGCCTGTCTGTAAATGCTATTCTTACTCATTTTCTATTTCTTTTACTTTATCCTCTTTCTCTTTCTCTCCCTCGCTCTCTTTTTGTCTCTCTCACTTTCTCTCACTCACTCTCCCCCTTCCCTCTCTCTCACTCGCTCTCACTCACTCTCTCCCCCTCTCTCTCACTCTCTTTCGCTATCTAACATTTATTCTTGCTGTCTATCTCTAAATGCTATTCTTACTCATTTTCTATTTCTTTTATTTTATCCTCCTTCTCTCCCCACCCCTCTCTCTCTCCCCTCTCTCCCTCTCTCTCTATCTCTCTCTCTAACACTTGTGCTTGCTGTCTATCTCTAAATGCTATTCTTACTCATTTTCTACTTCTTTTATTTTATCCTCCTTCTCCCCCTCTCTCTCTCTCTCTCTCTATCTCTCTCTCTAACACGTGTGCTTGCTGTCTATCTCTAAATGCTATTCTTACTCATTTTCTACTTCTTTTACTTTCTTTATCTCACCCATTTTTGTCACTAACTCTTGCTGTCACTCAATCTCTTTCCCGCTTTACTTGTTGGACATTTTGATGGCTTGACTCTTACTACTAAATAGTGAGTTTGATTCTCACTAGGTGTCCAATACCAAATTCGAGATATGTTGACATGACATAAAATCAAATAACTGGTAACTCGCAGTCTTCTTTTTATGTTTGCTGTCTATATTGTTCATGTACCGCGTCCCTACAGGACATAGATAATCATGGCTTTCCCCAACTTCCTTTGTGTTTCTTAATGATATTTACACCTTTATTATACCCTCAAATCTCTGTTCTACCTTCCATTTACACATGATGAATGAAAAGTTATGTACATCACAAATATATATTTTTCAATATAATCTCCTTCCTTGTCAATGCACTTAATCAACGCTTATTCATCACAGTCAAAGATTATTCATTGAAAATATATGATGTAAATTTAGCTAATAAGAGTGTCAATTTATAAACTTATTGATCGATTCTTGTAAAGTGTATTCCTTTTTTCCATCTATATATTTACTCTTTCTATCGTTCACTCACTCTCTCTCTCTCTCTCTCTCTCTCTCTATCTATCTATCTATCTATCTATCTATCTATCTATCTATCTATCTATCTATCTATCATGCATTCATCTATCAATGCCTTACGACTATACAAAAACAATATTCTTACTCATTCTCCCAAATTCTCTATAATTGTCTCGGGAAGATCTTTCATTGGCTTTCCCTGTAACGAAACAAATGCATTATTAATATTTTTACATTTCCCTCTAGTTCTCTCTTTCTTTCTCTTTCACTTTCATTTTTCTGTCCTGCTATTTTTAGCGTTCTTCTTTTCTTCACTATATTTTACACTTCTTTCCATCTTTTTCTATCTACTTTCTATTCTTTTTCCTCTCTCAATCGCTTCTCTATCTGTTACTCTCTTCTTTCCCATTTTTACTATATTTTCTCTTTCTCTCCTTTTTTCTCTCTATATCTCTCTTTTTCCTTCTATATATCTCTTTTTGTACTTCTGTCATATATATATATATATATATAAACAAATGTTTGGAGGTAAAAAATTTATAAATAGTTTTAAAAACTAGGAAACCATTGATTTTAATATTAAAAGTCTCTAGAGCCCTTTCAAAACCTTTGTAAACCGGACAAGGGTGCTGGTGTTGTTCTACTGGACCGGGTAGATTACATCCAAAAGATGTTGACTATTTTGAATGATTCAGAAAAGTTCAAAAAAATTGGTCCAGTTGAAACTTGTGACAACACGTACAGAAATGAAATTAAAATTCAGAAACGTCTATTATACTTGTTTAGAAAAGGTTACTTTTCTAAAAGAGACTTATGACAGGATTAGACCTTCTGGTTCCCTTAGACCAAGGCTTTATGGTCTTCCAAAAGTTCATAAGAAGGACGTTCCATTGAGACCAATACTTTCAATGATTGGTTCATCCCAACATTCTGGCTCAATGGCTTCTGCAGGTCATACAACCGGTCCAAACATTTTTGCTAAGCATTGTATACCTGATTCGTTCACGTTTGTTGAACGCCTACAGACCATACAGTCTTGCCCTGAGACTGATTTTATGTTTTCCTTTGATGTGTCCAGTCTATTTACTAACGTACCATTGAGGGAAACTATTGATATCTGTGCAGACTTTTTATACGAAGGTAACATTGCTCCACCTCCTTTTCCTAAGGATATATTTATAGAACTCATGATACTATGTACTAGTTCGGTGGAGTTCAGTTTTGACAATATTATGTATAGTCAAGTGGATGGGGTCCAGATGGGCAGTCCCCTTGGCCCTGCATTGGCTGATATTTTTGTGGGCTACCATGAAATGTTACTTTTCGGCAAAGTGTCTAAACCATTTGTTTACGTTAGATATGTCGATGACACCTTTGCAACATTCTCTAATAAAAGTGAGGCTGTTGAGTTCTTTAATGAGCTCAACTCCTTACAAAATGGTTTGTCTTTCACTATGGAAGGGAGAAAGACAACTGTCTGCCTTTTTGGATGTTTTTGTTGAACGCAGTAGAGGTGGTTTTATTACTAGCATTTATCGTAAACCCACCTTTTACTGGACTTTATTTGAATTGGCGTTCATTTGCTCCTGCATCAAGGAAAATTAATCTCGTTAAAACCTTTGTGTATAGAGCGCTTAAAGTGTGTTCCCTATTAGATTGGACCGTGAATTTGGGAACATTAGGAGATTTTCCTTAGTAACGGCTATCCGGAGGCCCTTATTGACTACATTATAAGTAAGAAAACTAAGGAATTTCATTCCCCCCAAAATCCAGGGCCTTCTAAATGTCCGGTTTATTTGAAGATTCCTGGATTGGGGATAGTGGTCAGGGCTTAATTAAGCAGGTTAGCAAGTTGGTTTCGGTTGTTTCCCATCAGTTGCTTTACGTAGCATTTTTCAAACTAGGTCTGCGTTTCCGTCTTTTTCGCAAGGATGTATTGCCCTACATCAAATTGAGTAATTTAGTATATGAATTTAATTGCCAGTGTGCTGCTGGTTATGTGGGGCGTACAGCCTTGCATTTGGAAACTAGAATTAATCAGCACGTTCCTTCCAAAATACGACTTGGTAAGATAGATAGAATATGCTATCTTCCCCCATGAATATGGAATCGGCTATTGCTAAACATTTAGTTGAGAATATAGCTTGTGCCAAGTTGTATAAAAAAGAGTGGTTTAGAATTATTCATACAGCCGATTCCAATAATCATTTGAAGATTTTGGAATCGGTCTGTAAAGGATTTAGAAAACCTTCTCTATGCCGGCAGAAAGAATTTATAAGGTCTCTGAATCTGTTGGGGGATATTTTATTTTAACTGTCCCTCGCTATTTATTTACACGATAACCCTTCCCTCGTTACAAGTATATATACTTGTTCGTTATTTTAGTGTGTTTCCCCCTCTTTTTTGCTCTTCAATATCGCTATTATTCATTTCGCTAATCCAACGATTGTCTCCTGATGAGATGTTGGTTGAAAGGGCTCTAGAGACTTTTAATATTAAAATCAATGGTTTCCTAGTTTTTAAAATATATATATATATATATATATATATATATATATATATATATATATCGTCATAGTCGTCGTTGGCGGAACTCGTTGGCGGCCATTGGTGTGACCATTCTCACTTCTTTCCGTGTGAAATGAGTCCTATGTTAAATCTGAAGAGACGTCCGCAGCCACTGCATGGTAGGGTAGGACGGTTCAGGGGATGGCGACCTTTGGCTTTTATTTGGGCGTTTTTCCTCTCATCTATTTGTCTTCTGGTTTTATCGAAATAGGTTGTTTTTTCATGGACTGTTCTTCTCCACCTGGTTCTTTCCGTAGATTCCGTCTCCCAGCTGACCGGATCGATTTCTATCCTCAGCAAAGTGTTTTTGAGCTAGGTTTTTGAGCTCCACATGATATCTTGCCTCATACGAGTCCCGAGAAGAGGATTTGTTTGGGTAGGCAGATGTCTAACATTTGGGCAAGTTGTCCGGACCTTTGAAGTCGGTGGCGAATCATGATTGTTTCTCGGCTCTGCATCTTTTCGCGGAAGAGAACTTCAATGTTCGTGATCCGGTCCTCTTCCAAGTTTTCGAATGTCTCTTCAGTAAAGTACCCAACCGATGTTTAGCCAACCATTTCAATAAACATTAGTGCAAATAAACAATCTCATAAATAAATAGAAAATGTATAAATTCACTTTCATCATATGTTTAACATTTATTACGTTTTCATCAAGGCTTTTTAAACAAGAAGCATTGCCAAAGAGTGAAGATAGTTAAGATAAAAGCAATTTCTTGAAAAAAACGGCTATTTTGTTCTGTTTTTTTTTTTGTTTTTTTTCTTTGCGGACACGAAAGTCCATGTTTGCCCATATTGATATCATTAAAAGAACTTTAATGATAAAAATGAATGATATCTTTAATGATATTAATTTTCAGCAAAAATTTAGTTGCCACCTCTTCTAAGTTTTTCTTAATAACTTTTTGAAATTTTCTAATGATTTTGTGAATATCCTGCATATTGATTTCAGAAACTTGATTAATGATAAATTTTGGTATCTAATAACATTTTCCACTATCGTCAAAAAATAGTTTGTATTCCCACAGATGGGGTATAGCACTAAAGTCAGTGGGTAAAGTTAAAATATTTTTCTCTCTCTCTCTCTCTCTCTCTCTCTCTCTCTCTCTCTCCACCCCTTTGTTTGTGATCCTTGTTCTGCAATCTATTTCATTAATCTCGTCAAGTAGTTTACTCGATGTTTTCCCCTGCTTCTCTTGCTATCAATGTGCCCCGTCAGTGTTAAATTCCCCAAGCCTACTTTCTTCATTATGCACCCACAAACATTTCGGCTATCTCTTTCGGCTTCTTAGCAACCGTTTCTCTGTAGTTTATATTTTCCTTAAAACTTCCATGTTTCTTATATGCCACGCCCATCAAATTCAAAGTCAGCACTAATATATACCCGTGATTATTGTTTCATTGTATTTGCATTTCCCCACCCAAATTTCAATATACTAAGGCACTAGGCCACAATATGGGGCATCCATTACTATGTCCTTCTGCATATGTAATTAATAAAAATTAGGGTTATTTTGACGGTGTTGTTAATAATTTTAAGATGCTCGAGACACGATGATTTGCATGAACAGCTTTTAACTTTCAGATTGTATTCATTAATGACTTACATACATCGTAAATGATTTTAAGTTACGACATAAAATTAAAATCTCTTCGTGTTATTTAACGTTCCTTTATATATTCGGCTTCCAAATTCATCAACATTATTTTTTTTTTTTTACTAAAATGTCTTAATTTTAGTTAGTTTTATCGCAATTACATAAACAATCCCGTCCGGTTATTAGTCAAGCATTTAGAGGCTCAGTTTTTAACCAAGGAAAACCTATCTAAAAATAAAGTATTATGTTTGAGGATATGAAAAATATTTCACTGCAAATATGTTTCCTGCATATGTGTATTTTACTGACAAGAATTACGCGGAGCTGAAAATCTATGCCAAGATTCTGTTAATGGGGAAAATGCCTGCGTCTTCTTAACAGCTAAACATCTTGAGCAGAAAATTGTCAACAGCAAAATTAGACTAGTGTTTAATTTTGCAAGCTTTCAAAATTAAACTTTCATAATTTATGCTGACGTCAACAAATTTTAGTTTTTGGCGTTTCTGCATGTTATGAAAGTAGTATTTTCAATATCAGTATGTTGCAGTTGTATGTGTACTATATGTCATGTATTTTGCTTCAATATATAAATTCTAAAATTGTTTCTGCACTTCATATCACATATTTGATTTAATTTGGAACATATTTGTCACACAATTATATAGAATACGTGATTGCAATGTACTGTTATATGTACTGTTATATTTAACAGCCCACCCCCCACGAGGGGTGTATATGGCAAAAGGCCAAGTTTATCGTGGGTTCCCTTAGAAGCCGCATAAACGGGTTAAGGGCCCTTCTACCTCCCAGGACGAAACTTTGCCCTGCGGCAAAGCCTCGTCTGGGTTCCCCTCTGCCAAGGCAAAGAGTTTGACAGTTGAACAGTCTGGGGTGGGGGCTGATTGCAGTGTACAGGATTATAAAAATTCGGGATGTGAAATTAGTAAATACTAAACTCTTCAAATAACTCGGTGTACGGATCATTTTATAACCATTTTAATATAAGCGATGAGGAAATTGAGCATACAATAGTCAGCGATGGGAGTAGTTTCGCTCAACACCGCATGTTACTACAAAACTAAAACATTAACCTGAATACTCCAGTCATGTTGCTAAATAAACTCATCAGATCGATATTTTCATATAGATATCAAACATGGCGCCAAACTCGCTCAGAAATATCTAAAATGCCAGATTTATAAAACCGCTTACTCAGATAATTGAATACAAATGTCTTCGAGCAAATGAAGCCTGTGGGTTGTAGTGAAAGAGATTTATTTTTTGGTTTTATTTAAAAGCTTTTGGGCTGGGGCAACAGAATTACAAAGAACCGTACCCACTAAGAGAAACCACATCACTTGAGGACTTTCAACAACAGCAACTACTTAAATGGATATCGTATGTAACTCATAGAGAAAATAATGTCATAATCAGGACGTTCACCTTCACATTACTTCAAATATAAATAAAGGAAATCCCCATGGAAAGAAACCAAAGTGGACGCGGTGAACGATGCTGTAATTTGAACTCGGCTCATCAATTCCCTTTTCTGTGCTGATAACAGTTACGCAGTCTGTACGTCTCTAATTGGAACTTACTAAGTATTTATGTATGTCGTCAAGTTTATGATGGATTTAGTTTCAATATTATCCCTGTTATTCTGAGCTATCCATTGCTCGCTTTTTATTTAATTTTATTCTGAATTAAGTTGGCTTCCACTCAATTTTATAATTACTCGCTTAAAGGCTACCATCTGCTGGCCTTAAATTCTATGACACGTCACTTCGCAGTTATACACTTTATATTATAAGTATTTGCAAATAAAGTGAAACTACTCTCTCAATAGCAATTAATATATCTGGAGTTATCTTTCTTTGGAAATAAGGTCATTAGAGGTTAGCGCGAAAGCAGACCCCAGATCTTTGTTAAATGGACCTAAAATCTCTATATTCTTCAACTTATAGCTGTCAATGATGTTGAGAAAACGTCGATGGAGGTGTACTTGATATCATTATTATCATCATCATTATCAGTCAAATGACTAGGTCTGGTCGTAGGGACACTGCGCAGGGTAAGCCCATTACCAGTTACTTCTGATTCACACGGTTGAAAGCTGGAGTGGTATTCAACCATGCGTAGCATATCTTGGTCAACAACGCTTACCGGAGCCAATCCATCTCCAGGTCAGACCACACCTAATGTCTTCCAATTTGATGGCTTACCTTGGTCACGAATATTTTGATATCATCTGGAGAACCCACCGCTCTGGTCGTTGGCATGCAACTGTAAATAATCAATAAATAATTATCGATAACTTACTAATTTTAGAAAATTGTTTATTAATTAATTTTAAGAATATTTTTCTAATCATATTTTTTATTTCAAAGTTATAAAGTGGGTTAAACCAAAATAGACATCGACAGTTTCACGTTTTAAGAGATTATCATGACTTGATGATCACATAATAGCTGGAAATGCCAGGTAATGTGCAGTGTTTTCTATGTCCACAATTCACTATCCCTAATATTGAGCAATGTTTCCCCATAATATAGAACAACGTTTGCGTTCAAACATAAATGAGACTATTGCCATTCAGTGTTTATATCTATGTACACACTGCTTGTACATGTGCTATGTCACTGATAATGAACACTTTCCTCCCATAACCACAACATCAAAACTATATTTTTATCATATATATATATATATATATATAAGTGGAAAGTGAAGTCAACACTCAGAGGCAACAGGCTGTTTCAAGCTAGACGCAAACATCAGGCCACATGACGATTGCATCTAGCATGAAACAGCCTGTGGCCTCTGAGTGTTGACTTTAATGTTTACATTTATATTCACTTATGCTCTATCTCTGATATTGAATACTTTATCCCATAAATATAGCACACCTTAAAACTATATTTCTTCATATATATATATATATATATATATATATATATATTAGAATAAACTTTATATTTTATTGGATAAACATGTTTAAGTAAACGCTCCGTTTTTTTCTAATCATTGTCAAATACATTTACACGTCTGTGTATTCGATAATCTTAATTAAAAAAATGTCGGTAGACGTATTTCACCTTTTTTTTAAAAAAAAAGGGCCGTCTACTCAAACACGTGTATCCATTAAAATATAAAATTTAAAGTAATTTATATTATAAATGCGTGTGTGACAATTTTTCAATTAAAGGGACACAACTCTCTAACTTTTAATAGCTCATGTTGCAAAAATCTTGGATTCCCAAGTTTTCATTACTGCGTTGTTTTCGGTGATATTTTGCGTAATTTTTTGCGACAATTCTTTTGTAGTATAATAATTTTTGCACATTGGAAATAAATTTGGAAATAATCGAAACAAATTGCGGAATCCAGGAAAAGTCACCCATGAAATAAAAATAATTGTTTGTACGTAAAGTAACGACCTACGTACATCAAATCTTCTTTAAATAAAAATGGCGACAGAAGAATTATCGTTGAACTTTTAAAGGGTAAGCTTAAATATTAATGCAATATTTAAATGCGCCGATCTATTTTGAGTTTTTCTGTAGTTTATTGTTGCCTAACGCATATTGAAACAGTATACCTCGCAAAAAGAAATCTTCGCCAACAGAGGAGCAGATTGCAATGAAAAGGGCCAAGACTGCAGCGAGGAATTGAAACTCCCGAGAAAATGAAGACCCAGATGAAACGGCATCCAGGAGAGCTTGTAATGCTGAGAATATGCAAAGACTTAGGGACTCTCAAACTTCTGAACAAGCCGAAGGTTCAATAAAGAGCCCTCTGTATGAGCTAGCTTAAGTGCCGAGCGATAGGGCGGCTTTTAAGCTAGTAGGAAATAATGTCGAAATGTATATACATATAAGCATGTATGAGAATTTTTTTAAAATATTAATGGGAATTCAAGCATTAATGATTTTCTGTGGCACTCTAAAAGCATCAAGTATATTTGTTGTCTTACATTGGGACTTTCTACATTTATATTCTAATATTACTGCCAGTATTTAAATTAGATAGAACAAAACGAATTCATCAAACTGATGCAAGCAATCATCGTAGGAACTCGGCTCTCAACATTGCAATATCACATACAACCAGACCTTCATACAAACATATGTATATATTTTGTTATTAATCTAATGTTCAGCAATCATATCGTGTTTTTTGAAGAACTGATTTGTTTTGCCTTTTTGTGTTGCAATATTTATACTTTTAATAAGGAAATAAAAATGCTAACTCTTCTTCATGATCACGCATATTAAATCCTTTCCTTTAAAAGACAGGATAAATTTTGATGTTAACATATATGCGTATAAGACAAAGATTTACCCACATAGCATCGAAACATTGATGGGCCTCCAATATATTTGACAGTCTTCACTTGTTATATTTGCATTACTCCTAATTTTAAATTCAAGTTAATACAGTTTAGCACAGACGTAACCACATGTTATTACCGACAAGTGTTTTTTGGGGGTTTTTTTTTTTTACATAAAAATGTTAAATTCAGAACTGAAATCTAGAAAAAATAACAAATCATTTTATAAAATTTCCTCTCGGCTAGATTTTATATTAGATTCATTCATTCTTTAGAGTGCAGATGTTAAAGTGAATGGATTCCTTCAAAATATTATCGAGAGATAGAAAGGCTTGTTATGGCGATGGAAAATTTGGAATATTTTTTTATTATTATTCGTGTTCCGAATTGGAAAATTGAGGTAATTCCTTATTTGAGGAACTGAAAAGCATTCTTCTCTCTTTTTTTATATCACGGTTTTACCATTTATAAATGATCCAGAGCTCAAACAATGATTTTTGCCATTAAATCTCAATGTTGTTGAATTTCGAACAAGTACTGTCGATAATGTCTGTATTTCCTGAATCTGTATTTGTTGTATTTGCTGTTCGCAACAACTGAGAATTTAGAAAATATTAAGGGACATCGATATTTTTTTTTATTTCGGTTGTCATGTCTTCTTTCTTAGTGGGTTAGAATTTTCTGAAAATATTCTTTAAAAAAATAAATAAATGGAGAAAATTACGCTTAAGGAAGAGGAATTTAAAATAGCTTCCAATTTAATTAAGCAGATGGAATTAACAAAAAGACTTTCTTTTATTATGAAAAGCACACTATCGAAGCAAGCCTGTTCAAATATAATGAACTCAAAAATTTACCACACGAAATAATACAGTGTATATATCATAAGACAGTAATCATGAACTTATCTCTTCGATGAATAGGTTTGCTATTCACTCAGTGACTACAAAATATGTTATCTTATAGGTTTTTCATCATGTAAAATATAAAAATGGATGCATCTGGCCATCTATAAACAGAGATTGAATAGCGCTTCTCAAGATGCATAGGTGCTGATTTAAAGAACTCATTTCAAAGCAAGATGCAAATGGTTGCCGGCCTGATATGTAATGGCTGATATACTTTGTAACGGTGAATATTTAAAGGTTTTGTCAGAAAAGGTCTTGCAATGACTGAAATTTGCTTTTAACAATGAATTATTGAGTAAAATCATGGCTAGAGCTAATGACAAATGAAGTTTAAAGAGAATAACAACTAGGTGAAATTTTGCTAACGTCTATAAAGAGAGAGCCGTAATGTTTAGATAGCATATACTAATAAAGGAAGACTTAAAATTAATACGCAGAGAATGCCTTAGACAATATGGGGCAAGGAAAGCGCCTGGTGATGTTTGAGGGAATGAATGAACGAACAAGTACCACAAAGACAGAGTGGAAAAGGGGTGAGACTTATAGGAAACTGTGACGAGCTTTGATCGCCCTTATCATGAATGGACATGTCTCAGAAAGAAAAAGAGTCGGTTTTAGCGTAACATTGGTTGTCAACTTATATCATACTAAGCTTAATCCATATACCTAATGAAGCCTTATTTTGATGCAGTGGTCAAGAAGCTTATCTGCCATTGAATTATATTCATTTACAATATGTCCTGTTTACTATTTTGTACTAAAATTCATCCAAAACTAAACTCAAGAACCCATCAAGGTAGAGAGTTACTCTTAAAATGTAATTAATATATATATATGTGTGTGTGTGTGTGTGTGTGTGTGTGTGTGTGTGTGTGTGTGTGTGTGTGATTATGATGAATGAGGTATGTGATATGAATGATAGAGGAGGTGGGAGGAAGTGAAGATTATGAGGATAAGGAGGAGAGATGAAAAGTTTAAAAGAATTAATTGCGAAAGGTATTTAATTACAACGGAAGGATTTAGTACTTGAAAATGTCTGGGTTTTAACTTGCGAATTAACAGAGTTTTAACTTGTATAATCGAGTGAAAGAAGGAGCACCCCCTCACCCGGACTCACCACTGGAAAAATTACAACTGAAATAAACCAGCTGCACCCAATCTAGGTCGGATGTGACCGAAATTAAAACTTAGAGTTTGTTATTTTATAATCCCATTCGCTTTTTTGCTTTGAATGTATATTAGCTTAGATCCATTCGGCTGACTCTGGCTATATCTGACAAGAGGATGAGATCATCAAAATCCTCCTATGTTACTAGGCACGTATGCAAATCAACTTGTAACTTGATACTTGCAAGGAACCTATCCCCACAAAGCAGTCGAAATAGAGAGAAAGATAAAGAGTTTGTGTCTCTGTGGGGGGGGGGGTATCGATTGCCCAATTGTCCGTCTGTCGTCCATTGAAGAAAGGTTATCTCCGTTCTCCCGAGAACCCACAGCCGTCTGCTGAGCCATTCCTTTAGCACGATTATTTTTCCGTGCATCTACAAGGAACATATAACTCTGATTAATTTGTAATATTCGGATGATAATGAACCCGTTTCGTAGAAATCAAGTAATTGTGTAGAAAAAGGAAGACATAGATATGAAAAGTGTCAAGATTTAGGTCCTAAATAGTTTTGTAAGAAAGCCTTTGATTAATCATGGAATAAATTGGGAAATGAGGATTCAACAATTCCTTTTTTATATGACTTTAACTACTTATAAGACTTTACAGGAAGCTTGACTCAACTTAAAAACAACCCCGTGGTGACAGTTGAAGAAGAATAAACTGCTGGGTCTTTTAGTAACGTACGGCGTGAAAAAGATCTATATCTGTTCGGATAAATACTCACAACTTATTGGAATATGTCCCTGGTTAAATCCAACACGAACCCAGAAGAGAAGTTTGTATGTTATTTTTCCTTTTTTTTATTTTTTTTTATTGTTGTTGCGTGTTTTTATTTATTTTATTTTTTTTTGTTAAATGGTTTTTTTGGGTTTTCATTATCATTTCAGCCTAAGCAAGGCGATATTCCCACAAAGACGCAAGGGCTTAATAGGAGTAACAAAGGGTGGGAAGACTCTAGTTAGGAGAAGTGAAGATAAACTGTAATAAAATATGAGGATTCAGGAAGACAGAAGATGGTATTTGGCGCTGCATTTAATTGTTTTAGAAAATACACAAGGAAGCCACGTCACTTCGGGGCGAAAGCGACTGAAGTTGAGATGCCAGGTCAGGATCGATTATATTACAGACTCTTCTTAGAATTTTGTCAAGAATCTCGAGATATATAGTAGGAGCACCAGACCATATATGGCAGCAATATTCAATACACAGATAAACGGTAGATGGATTCTGATGAGAAGAATTGTCTGGCCTGATACAGTGAATCAACTTTCTTAGCAGTAGAAATAGCAAGTGATTCAATTATAATCATGTCATCTTCTTATGGGCCGTGTCCCTTCAGGACGTAGACGATCACGACTTTCCTCCTGTCCCTTATAGATCTCAATGATCTTTGACTTTTTGTTATTTCTCCCAGACGCTGTTCTGCGGTCAACTTGCTTAAACCCGTTAATTATGTCACGCGCTGCTTTCCCTTGTTCCTCTTTCATTCTATCCTGTGTGTATCAGATTTTCCAAGCCCTCCTTTCTCATTACGTGATGCAGAATTTTCAACTGCATCTCCCTGGTGTTAAGTATGAGTTTCCTTTTTGTTTGCATTCTCTACAAATCTTCATCGTTGCTCTCATGTTCGGTCCATGCTATCCTCAGCATCCTTCTGTAGAACCGCACCTCTGCCGCCTCCAACATTCGCTGCCGTAAATGTTGACAGATATCACGTAGCAGTTCAGCACTATTTTCTTTGTTACCAATGAAACCCCCTGTATCGTAATACTCTGTCTAGCTTTTCGAATGCCTCTTTTACTATCGCAATACGTCTCCGGATCTCAGCGTCACACATACCGTCCTTTTTAAAACAGTTCCCAGATATTTAAATTTCCGACCTGCTTGATTTTAGTGCCCCCGACCTGTAAATCGTATTTCGGTCTCATCCTTTTACTGGTGGTCACGCATTCTGTCTTCTTGTAGTTTATGCTTAGTCCCTTCTTCTCGCTCTCCCTCGCTACCTTCTGTAGAATGTTTTTTAGTTTCCTTTCCGTGTCTGCTATCAGTACAGTGTTATCTGACTATCATCTACAAAAGATTCAAGAATGCAATGGTTCACTGCAAAACCTACCCAAGTGCGGAAGCGACCATCACCCTGTTATATGTAAACTAAGAGTGATACTACGGAAACTGAAGGAGGCTAACACAGTACCCTAATTGTTATACAACAAACTCCTGAGTGACCCGAAACTAAAGAAAAAATATCTGGACAGTGTGAAGAGTCGATACGAGGGACAAAATGGAAATGGAAACATGAAATGAAACACACTAAGAGAAGCTGTAGTGACATCAGCAAACGATATCATCCCAGTGGAGAATGGACGAAGAAAAAACGAATGGATGACTGATGAGATTCTCGACGGGATACAAAGGAAACAGAAAACTCTGCCAAGATACGGAACGGAATAGAGAAAAATACACAACGAAATAAGGACCAAATGCAGTCAGACTAAAGAAGAGTGGCTAAGCAAAAATGTGCCTAAATAGAGATTGAGTACTATAAACAAAGAAAATATGAATAAGCAAATAAGCGAACTAACGGGACAGAAGAGTTGCTCGTCAAAATCCTACGATGGAAATTAGAGAAGGAAAAAATTCTTCAGTACCAGAGCGAATATATTGGAGAACGATTCTATGACGAAAGAGAACAACCGGCAATAGAGAGAATTACCGACGGTCTTGAAATTCTAAAAACCGAATTAGAAATGGCAATGGCAAAATTGAACAGAAACAAAGAGGTAGGGACAGACGGAATAGTAACAGAGATGCTGATAGCCTTAGATGATTTTGGTCATAAATAATAAAAGAAATCTACAAAAGTGGGGATATACCGGAAGATCTAAGCTGATCTATTTTCATATCACTGCCTAGGCAAACGAATGGGAAAAATACCGAACAATCAGTCTAATTAGCCATATAACAAAACTAATCATCCCTATCCTGATGAATAAAGCGCGCAACAGAATCAGACCAGAGATAGGACAAGAACAATGCAGGTTTATTAAATACACCGTAACAAGGAACGCCATATTCATACTCAGCATGTTATCAGAAAGAACGATACAGATGAAGCTACACAACAACCTTGACATATTCGAGAAAGACATTAGAGTAATGAAAGCCCTCTATTGACAACAAACTGCTTGTATAAATATAAAAATAAGTTCAGCAGATATACAAAAATAGAAACGTGCGTAAGGCAAGGATGTGTCTTCTCGCCGGACTTATTTAACCTGAACAGCGAGGCGATTCTCAGAGAACTGGAAAACCTAGCGGAATTCACAGTCGTGTTATAATCATGTTATAAAAAAATTGTAAATTATTAAATTATTTTTTTATAAAAATATTTTAGAACGTCGATTTACTTTATTCAAAAATAAATTATATTACGATTTACTTTATTAAAAATAATTAAAAACAAAAAAAACTGCTTCATTTTGCTTTGCTTGTTGGATTTGCGCATGTAAGTAGAAAAGAAGATGTTTTGTCTGTTGTTGAAAAGATTTTGATTCAAACAATGATGGTTTTTAACAGAGGTGAACAAAAATGTACAGAGGCTGCAGCATCTACCAAATGGAAAGGGGCAACTGAACACCGCCGACTGATCGCGGGGTCAACTCAGGATCGAGACAACTCTGAGCCAGAAAAAGATAACTTTTTTTTTTATAACCGAATAAAAGTAATTTTTTAAGGATTAAAACCTTAATTTTTGATAAAGTAAATCGTGAATTATCAAATTATTTTTTATGAAAAATATTTTAGAACGTCGATTTACTTTATTAAAAAATAAATTATATCACGATTTACTTTATTAAAAATAATTAAAAAAAACTGCTTCATTTTGCTTTGCGTTTTTTCATTTACTTTATTAAAAAATAATTAAAAACAAGGGTCTTTTATTGAATTATTTTTCTATGTCAATTTCTTTACTATTTAATTTATTAAAACTAATTAAAAACAAAAACTGGTTCATATTTTACATAATGCCTTTTCAAATGCCTTCTTTGTAGAAAAATATTCACTAATTAAGGTTTTAATCCTTAATAAATTCCTTTCATTCGGTTATTTAAAAAAAAGTTGTCTGGTGTTGAGTTGTTTTGATCCTGAGTCGGCGGTGTTGAGTTGTCCTGAACCCGTTCTGCATTAGGCTCCCGTTTCTTTCTGCACCAACCGAAGTTATAAGACTCAGTCTGCCCTGGTATTAAACCCATCGTTGTGGGGCGGGGAGATGGATTCATGCCTTTCCCAAAGCTCATTGCGCGTTAGTAAATGTAAAGAACCTGACTGGAATTCGAACTCTCGAATTTGCCATTTGAAACCGATACCCATCACACCACAAAGCACACTCAAGGTATTCAGTTAATAACCCGTGATATAGTCTTAATGGAAGTACATAGATGTAAATATGACACATCACTGCAATAAAATCAAATATATTTCCAGTGAATGATATAAATTTGCAACAAAAAAAAACAACATGAAAATAGGGTAAGGGGAGTTAGATGTGAGATCAACTGACTGTCAAACAATTGAAATCTCTCACAATTCGGTTTGTGATTTGCCGGAAAGAACCCAGGTTCCCTCGAGAAGCAATGATTCATGACAAACACTACAACTGGGGACACTTTAGATATTGAAAGCAATGTTTAAACTATTTGCATGGAAGAAAGCATTGTGGCTGTCACAGAAGTGTAGATCATCGACGCTAAAGTGTTCATCATGAATACAAGTTGGATGAAACGATAGCTTCCGAGGAGGTGTTTGAAGAAAATAAATATGGCCGTGACTGGAATTTCTGCGTATCAAGAATGCACAAAGCAAAAGATGTTTGATGGGAAGATGCATACACAATCTAAATTGGAGCCATCGTTTATCTTCTAATAACGGCTTCTGAATGGGACTCTTTTCCAGAGACTTTACTCTAATTGGTGTGCAGTGTGTCATGTGACAGGTTTAATTATAGCAATGTAAGCCAGGATTTCGGCACCTGCAGGCTGGGAAGAATAAAGCCTGATCGATTGATACGATGGAGCAACCGATCAGCTGTGATATTTGCCAATTACAAACTAACGGACAGCAGGTGCTTGCGCTTTTCGGCCGCGATACGCGACTCCTGTATTGAGTAATTGAAATCCCCGGAAGAACACACAACGCTTAGCCTTTCTGTTCTTTCTTCCTGTCTTTATACACTTTACAATGCAATGGTATATATATATATATATATATATATATATATATATATAGAGAGAGAGAGAGAGAGAGAGAGAGCAGCATTCCTCAACCTTCACTGTGTATCCAATTATCTATTTCTCACTTTTTCACTTTTTTTCT